GTAAGTCCACAAATTCCTTTGGAGACTTCAGGCTGAAGGCGCAAGGAACACAAGGAGTCAGCACCAGAAGCACCATACTGTCCCCCGAGCTTAAAGCGGCAGCTAAAAGCCTTCGTGAGAACAAGGAGATAGTTGTCAGGAGAGGTGACAAGTCGCCAATATATGTCATTCTTAAAAAAGACGAATATCTGGCGAAAATGAACATCATACTCTCTGACCAAACTAAGTTCCAAAGGGTAACGAAGGACACTACAGCCGAATTAAAAGCAAAGGTCAACAAACTGATCGAAACTGTGAACGCCAAGAAATCCGGACTCCACCTGCCAAAGATCATTGGGGAATATAAACCTGGATATGCGTATGGAAATGTCAAGACGCACAAGCCTGGAAACCCACTTCGGCCAATCATTAGCCAGATACCCACACCCACGTACAGACTGGCGAAGCGACTCAACGGCCTGCTGACTCCTTATGTTCCTTGCGCCTTCAGCCTGAAGTCTCCAAAGGAATTTGTGGACTTACTGCGGGGCGCACGGGCCACAGGGATAAGAGCCTCGTTGGACGTAGAATCGCTGTTTACCAACGTACCTGTGGACGAGACAATCGGAATGATAGCCGACAGAGTGTATCGTGATCCAGCCTGTACTCCTCTTGACATGCCAGAAAGTATTCTGAGGAAACTACTCCAAGCTTGTACTAAAGAGGCACCCTTCTTGAGCCCGGATGGGCACATGTATAAGCAAGTAGATGGGGTCGCCATGGGTTCTCCCCTAGGTGTCCTGTTTGCAAACTTCTACATGGGTACCATCGAGCAAAAAGTCTTAGTCGACATGAACTTGAAACCGGCCATATACTGCAGGTATGTTGACGACATTTTTACACAGGTACCTGATGTCAGACATCTACAGGAGCTGAAGGAGGCATTTGAGCAGAGTTCCGTGCTGCGTTTCACTTACGAGACGGAAAAGGATGGGAAGCTGCCTTTTCTAGATGTAACAGTCATGGAAAAGGGCGGAGGTTTCCACACTGCAGTCTACACAAAGGAAACAAACATAGGAATGTGCCTAAATGCCAACAGCGACTGCCCTGACAGGTACAAGAGGAGTGTTGTTAACGCATACGTCGACCGTGCTCTCAGCCACAGCTCAGAATGGAAGCAAGTCGACGAAGAACTCTGTAGGGTAAGGCAGGTCCTAGTCAATAACGGCTTCTCCAATGGTTTCATCGAAGACATCATAAGAAGGAAAGTGAAAAGCCATGCAACCTCCGAAGAGACAACTAACACAACACCTATACCCCCTATTAGACTATTTTACAGGAACTTCTTTTCCACAGCTCATAAAACAGAGGAAAGGGTCCTGAAAGATATTGTTAATAGAAACGTTATCCCTACAGACAAAAATCAGAGGATACAACTGACGATTTACTATAAAACCAGAAAAACGGCCAGCCTACTCATGAGAAACTCTCCAGACACAAAACAGAACGCTTTAAAAGAGACTAACGTCGTCTATGCCTTCAAATGCCCACTTGGGGACTGTAAGCTCCAAAAAACCCAGTATATAGGCAAGACAACAACATCTCTTTCTAGGCGTTTAACGATGCATAAACAACAGGGCTCCATTAAGGAACATATAATCTCTTCCCATAACCAAACCATCGCCAGAGAAATCCTAGTAAACAACACAGAAATCATCGATAGATACAGCGATAGCAGGCGGCTTGACGTTTGCGAGGCACTACACATCAAGAAGTCAACACCAGCAATCAACAGCCAATTATTGCACAACTATATTCTACCCACCTCAAGACTCCGCTCCAATATAGAAGCATCAAGAAATATGGACCAATAGGCTTTCTACAAACACTTCTATTCAATACCCATTGTTTCTGTTCTGTCTTGTGTTGATACTTTTAATACCCTATTAATATCCCCTAGTGTTCTGTCTTGTGTTAATGCCACATCACCCTTCCCACCTCACTCAAATGTAATGCCACATCACCCTTCCCACCTCACTCAAATGTAGATATAAAATCAGGGAAACGCAAGTTCTAATCAGTTGTGTATTTGTGAAGTCTTTGAAAATGTAATAAGTTTTACGAAACGCGCCCGTGTCGCGTCAGACTAGAAATAAAAATGAATTTTGGAGAAGTGATTTTTGATTTACCTCCAACAGTGAAGCGTAATGTACGAAAGATTGAGAAAATTCGTGTTAGAATTATTAATCTTACTTTTTCGGTCATATTTAATAATATATGTCTACAGGAAAGACTGCTACCAAAATATATATATATATATATATATATATATATATATATATATATATATATATATATATATATATATATATATATATATATATATATATATATATATATATATATATATATATATATATATATGTCGTACCTAGTAGCCAGAACGCACTTCACAGCCTACTATGCAAGGTCCGATTTGCCTAATAAGCCAAGTTTACCTGATTTAATATATTTTCTCTAATTTTTTCCTTATGAAATGATAAAGCTACCCATTTTATTATGTATGAGGTCAATTTTTTTTAATTGGAATTAAAATTAACGTAGATATATGACTGAACCTAACCAACCCTTCCTAACCTAACCTAACCTATCTTTATAGGTTAGGTTAGGTTAGGTAGCCGAAAAAGTTAGGTTTGGTTAGCTTAGGTAGGTTAGGTAGTCGAAAAACAATTAATTCATGAAAACTTGGCTAATTAGGCAAATCGGGCCTTGCATAGTAGGCTGAGAAGTGTGTTCTGGCTACTAGGTACGACATATATATATATATATATATATATATATATATATATATATATATATATATATATATATATATATATATATATATATATAAGCCTATACTTGCATAAACCACAAGTGAAGATTAATAATCTTTGGACAACACCCACCAGTGGGACTCGAACCCAGAAAGCACAACTACCTGTTTGTGATGTTTGAGATATATATCTCGAACTATCTACTTCTTTTGTAAGGTCTGATGGTGTAGTGGGTTAAAGCATACTAGTTATGCCAGCTACTGGAAGGTAGTTGTGCTTTCTGGGTTCGAGTCCCACTGGTGGGTGTTGTCCAAAGATTATTAATCTTCCCTTTTGGTTTATGCAAGTATAGGCATATAAGCTGGACACGAGTTCTCTCACATTGACAGTGGCTTGATGGAAAATGCAAACTGACCCCACACTCATCTGGTGCCTTCGGGAAGTGGAGATGTTTGAGATATTTATCTCGAACTATCTACTTCTTTTGTAAGGTCTGATGGTGTAGTGGGTTAAAGCATACTAGTTATGCATACTTTAAAAGTTAAAAGGTATAAAAAGGTATACTAGTTAAAGCATACTTTCCATCATAAGAAGGAAAGTGAAACGCCATGTAACCTCTGAAGAGACAACCAACACAACACCTATACCCCCTATTAGACTATTTTACAGGAACTTCTTTTCCACAGCTCATAAAACGGAGGAAAGGGTCCTGAAAGATATTGTTAATAGAAACGTTATCCCTACAGACAAAAATCAGAGGATACAACTGACGATTTACTATAAAACCAGAAAAACGGCCAGCCTACTCATGAGAAACTCTCCAGACACAAAACAGAACGCTTTAAAAAGAGACCAACGTCGTCTATGCCTTCAAATGCCCTCTTGGGGGACTGTAAGCTCCAAAAAAACAGTATATAGGCAAGACAACAACATCTCTTTCTAGGCGTTTAACGATGCATAAGCAACAGGGCTCCATTAAGGAACATATAATCTCTTCCCACAACCAAACCATCGCCAGAGAAATCCTAGTAAACAACACAGAAATCATCGATAGATACAGCGATAGCAGGCGGCTTGACGTTTGCGAGGCACTACACATCAAGAAGTCAACACCAGCAATCAACAGCCAATTAATGCACAACTATATTCTACCCACCTCAAGACTCCGCTCCAATATAGAAGCATCAAGAAATATGGACCAATAGGCTTTCTACAATCACTTCTATTCAATACCCATTGTTTCGTGTTCTGTCTTGTGTTGATGAAATTAATACCTTATTAAATACCACCTCACCCCATCCACCTCACTCAAATGTAGATATAAACAAATCGGAGATGTGTAAGTTCTATTCAGTTGTGTATGTGTAAACTAAAGTCTTTGAAAATGTAATAAGTTTTACGAAACGCGCTCAAGTGTCGCGTCAGACTAGAAATAAAAATTAATTTTGTAGAATTGATTTTTGAATTACCACCAACAGTGAAAAGAAATGTACGAAAGATTGAGAAAATTCGTGTTAGAATTGTTAATCTTACTTTTTCGGTCATATTTAATAATAATATATATATATATATATATATATATATATATATATATATATATATATATATATATATATATATATATATATATATATATATATATATATATATATATATATATATATATATATGTCGTACCTAGTAGCCAGAACGCACTTCTCAGCCTACTATACAAGGCCCGATTTGCCTAATAAGCCGAGTTTTCATGAATTAATTGTTTTTCGACTACCTAACCTAACTTTTTCCGCTACCTAACCTAACCTAACTTATAAAGATAGGTTAGGTTAGGTTAGTTAGGGTTGGATATGTTCGGTCATATATCTACGTTAATTTTAACTCCAATAAAAAAAATTGACTTCGTACATAATGCAATGGGTAGCTTTATCATTTCATAAGAAAAAAATTAGAGAAAATTTATTAGTTCAGGAAAACTTGGTTATTAGGCAAATCGGGCCTTGCATAGTAGGCTGAGAAGGGCATTCTGGCTACTAGGTACGACATATATATATATATATATATATATATATATATATATATATATATATATATATATATATATATATATATATATATATATATATTTATATATATATACATATATATATAAAGTTGGTAATTCATAATAATATTTTGGATATGATAGTGAACTGTTTAATTTCAGATCAGAATGTCGTATTTCTTGTGTGGAACCGTGGTGGCGGTAGTGGTTTGTGCTTTACCCTCATTTAGCCAGGAGTTGGGGGAACCTATGGCAACAGGCATTATGCTAGGTCGGATGATGAGTAAGGTGGGCGTGATGGTGAGTCAGGTAGTGGAACACCATCTCTCCGGCTGTCATCTGGTGATCATCACATCATCATGTGACTCACCCGTTACCTCCACCATACTCAGGTGAATTAGCTATATTTAATTATTACTGCGACTTCTTTAAAAAAAATGTTCCATTGTGAAACACCTCAATTTTATTTTAATCTTTTTTATTTATACCCCATTCTCTAAGATTTATTGCCTGGTGAGTAAGTGAAATTCACACCAGTTACTTCGTCTATCATCATTCTATTATGCAGGAGGAACCGCACGTCTATGGGACATCCAATAATGTTAGCAGACTTCTAGATGTTACCACTGCTAGGCTTAGGCTCGGCTACAAGTACCTCGGGGAATTTATAATATCTGCTGATGTAGATTTGACTAAATGTAAACTCTGTCAGCAGAACTAACTATTCACATACTTTGCGTCATTATATAATGGAATGTGAAAAAACCGCGGAATTTAGAGATAACACCATCAATAGTGTCCAAAGAAATGTGTAAGTACTTCATTCATAATGATGTGCTGCCCGAAATCTTAGCGAAGTATCCAATATTTTCTTACTGTAAGTAATGCATGCACATGACTGTAAAACTGCCACCCAGTTGGGTGGTTGTGCAGCGAGACTAGTAATTGTGTGACTCACAATAGATGTAAATTGCCTTGTATAGTGATTGTTGTGAGCCTCTTGTTGATCACTTGTGACACAAAAGATTATTGATGTGTGTATTTGTGTGGGTGATTAAATATGTATGTGTATGTATATATGTATACGTATATGTATGAGACTGTGTACATGTATTTATAACATTAATAATTTTGTAACTAGCGTCAATTTTTTTTATTTGCTTAGCTAAACGAACTAGAGGGTTCAGTTCCTGAACCGATTATTTGCCTCTGTAATCCTTTACACCACCGCCCACGAAATGGGTATTGGATGTATAATAAAGAAAGAAATTGAAATTAAATTGGTGAATAAAATCAAAGTTACAAACTTTTGTGCGATAAAAACATATATTAAATGCCAATTATCTCTCCAATATATAATACTGAAGCGTTAATATATGTGATCTGTAGTGATGAATGAATTAATTACAATTAAAGTCCACCTACAACATACGAAATATTTCTCATATTAAGATCAGCAGCCATCCAACCACCTTCCTGTAGAGTACTGTCACCAGAAAATACCATCCCTGGTGAGGCTGGCCGGTAGATTAGTGGGACCTGCAACAGTGTTCCGAGGACATGCATCTGAAGTAAAAAAATTCTTATTTATGCATACATGAAAAACTAAGTATTTCAAGACCTTTCAAGTTCGTAGAGCACGAATCGGCGGTGGCATTATTACTAAATTGTTCTTTTGTTTGCCAAAAAATTGTACCTGTTTTGAGGTCGCGGTAGTTAACATAATTTAAAATAATGTGCCATTATGGCTTTTGCTATAAGGTAATATTTGCTTATCATGCTTGTGCACATATATTGCTTCTAGTTGGTTCCAACCACATTAGTTGGCTCCCTTACACACTAGACAACTGGTCTGAACCTCCGCCATAACGGCAAGCATCCACAAGGTTTAGTCATCTATCCTCTGGCCACTCCAGGAAGATCGCAAAGTATTTATATTTGTGATCCCATTGTAGCCCGACTTTTGTTACCTCTTGTGTATACTCTTTCCATGGTTGACTTTATTTCTTAACCGAGGTGTACCTGGACCACGCAAGGGATGAAGACTTGTGCATGTGTTACAGCTGCCTGATCTGTTACAGCCTTACAGTAACATGAATATATGATGGTCCGCGGACCTCACAATAATCAAATGCGACGATATATGGCCCTCCTCACTGTCTGAGTGCCTACTCTTGGTCTGAGTGCTCCTCCCTGTCTGAGTGCCTCCTCACGTTCTGAATGCTTTGTCTTCATGTTTACTCATGGAAACTTTCGGTGTCACAGTGGACTCAGTGATGTAAATGCACTACAGTGACTGATTCATTGTTTTTATCAGCACATCAATAAATCTTAAGGGGGCATATCGATGTAAAATTAAAAGTGGTTCAATTTGCTTATAAATTTTTTTATGAAATGGTTATAGAAAGGGCTGCAGCTGGTCCAAGTTTCATCATCACACCCTAAACAGAAAAGGATAAAAAAAATAAACAACGAATTATGCAACGAATTTTCAAATAGTTTCAGGGAACACATGTGTCAACTAAAATCATTTCTATAACACTCAGATATTAAATTAAGCACATAATAAAGGATTCTAGTGATCAGTTTTATCAAAAAAGTGTTTAGTGCAATAATATAATTTTTCAAAGTTACCCTACTAAAAAAATATGCAATATATAATATTTATAAATTTTTATAAAATCACCAAATAGACTTTGGACTAAAATGTCTACTAGAGTCTGTAGAAGCACAAAAGCTACATATAAGGTGTAATTTGCATGTAAATTGATTAATAAATGAAAGCTCTGAAGTAATTTGAAGGTGTAAATTACTTTCCAGAGTAAAATAAAGATCCAAGTTCGGCCACCTGTAGCTGAGCTTGACTTCAACAGATTTCGTTCATAATTGGCACCCTTGCAGATAGGCATCCATTGAGCAAGGTGTGCAAGTTTCATGCAAATCCCTTGATAACAAACGAGAAAAAAATATTGGCCCAAAAAAAAAAGAAAAAAAAGAAAAAGAAAAAAAATTAAATATAAATATATTGAACATACATATTACAATTATTACAAGAGTTTGTGCTTCTACAGCACATAGTAGACATTTTAGTTGACACATATGTTCCCTGAGATTATTTGAGAATGTTGAACATTCGTTGCATAATACGTTGTGTATTTTTTTCTCCTTTTCTGTTTAGGGTGTGATGGTGAAACTTGGACCAGTTGCAGCCCTTTCTATAACCATATCATAAAAAAATTTATAAGCAAATTGAACAATTTTAATTTATAACAATATTTTTTGATATGCCCCCTTAAGTGAAATAATAACATTATATACATGTGCACACTGTTAATGAAATATTAGCTCTTTAGTTGATTGTTGTGGAACTTTAAACTCGGCGGTTATTGTAAAACTTGTGTTGCTGATTATCAATCATTTCATAGGATCCATGAAAAAACCCGCACGGCTCCCTTACTTAGCTTTGTATATACATTCCCTTCAACGTTAACGATAAATTAATAAGGACAACAAGGTGTTAAACTTGAGGCACCTCACTAGGGTCGCTGGGACCAGGGTAATCGTGGCCGTCGAGTCGTTCTTCATACACGAGCCTCAACCACCAATGGACAACCCGTTGCAAGACTCCAGTGCAGCCACTCCCCAATCACCCTCCTGGCAGCATGTGTCACAAAAACGATCATATGTGGACCCCTTACGTCAGCACCAGACACCTCAGGATCAGCTCTCAGTGGACAACCTCCTGCAGGGACTGTGGGGAGACTCGAGAACCACCTGCCGGGGACTTATTCTCGACCTCACCTCCAGCAGGAACACCACGCACCTCGCCCTCAGGTACTCTACTTTAAGCAGTCACAAAGAATACACTTTACATAAGGTTGTTGCGGTATCCTTACCCTGTTTCCATCTACCGCTTGATGTTTTGTGACGACTTCTCGTTAAGTTAGAACAATTAAATGGTAAAAACACGTCTTTTATTATTCAATCACGAAACTCATAAAACTTCATGCCTCATCTGTTATACTTATGTTTATCACTAGGATGGTCTCATGACTGTAAGAGGTTATGATCAATCACATTGCACTTTGACAAAGAGTGTTTATAAATATTTATTTCATGTTGTCAATCAAGAGATATTAAGATCACAGTACCTTATAACCGAGTAGTAAACATATCTCTGTCTAGGACATTTTTACAATATTCAGACCACTTAATATATATTATTGTAGTGAGACAACTCCTGGACGATGTTTAGTGAATTTAATACCAATATGGAGTGGATGCTCGACTACATTCTTATTTGCCTTTATTCTACGGCAAATAAACGAATGAATAAACTATTCATTCTAATAAGGAATAATTTCATTTTTCACAATTACTTTTTTATATTCAGAATAAACAAAAAAATAATAAACAAACATATTGTGTTCAAAATCTTTGGTTGAAGACGTGTCTGAACTCTTCCCAACATTTCTAAAATATTATAGAACAATTTGCGAGAATGGTGGAACTCTTCCTTTACTACCATACAAGAATCAGTTCAGGATCCGTACTATTATTTCACTTGCGTCTTTGTACACACTCGCTTTTCCAATACTTTTCTGCGTCTTTTGTGCACACACGCTTTTCCTTCACTTTTTACGTCATTTATACACACATTCTTTTCCTGTACTCTTAGGTGTACTCTGTACACACTTACTTTCTCTATACTATCCTGCGTCATTTGTACACACTCGCTTTCCCTGTACTTTCCTGTGATCTTTATTCACATTCTCCTTTCCTGTACTTTCCTGCGTCCTTTGTTCACTCGCTTTTGCTGTACTTTCCTGCTTCATTTGTAAACACTTGCTTTTCCTGTCATTTCCTGCGTCATTTTTACACACTCACTTTTTAATCTCTAAGGGAGGAGCGGGAGGGAGGAGCGGGAGGGAGGAGGGGAATGTGGGGGAGATTCACGCAGACGGGTGTACCTCTTACTTCCCCTTTTAGCTTACATACAAAACAGGATGTCTGCCTTTCCGAGGATGGAATACACATGCTTAGTGCTAACCTCACCCAACTTTGGAGTTATTTCTGAGGGACAGTTGCCTAACATGGACTCATCAGCATCAGCACTATTGAAAATAGTAAAACGTGACTTTATGTCGTAGCAACCCCGATATCAAACCTATCATTATCTATTAGCTTCCTTCTGTCTCGACTCCCTGAAGACAAACTATAACCAAACATTTGTTCTTCAAATATCATAAAACTGTTTTCCTAGGAAAATCATGATCAAAATTCTTCTGTTTACTGTATCGTTCCTCTCTACCTACCAGCCCCATACGTATCCGTGCTTCCGTAGAGAGATAGTGATTGGGAGACAGTGAGATACTGACATTGAGACACATAGGCTGAGACAGAAAGACCGAGAGACATGCACTGAGAGATAAAGACATAGATACACAGAGGCTGAGTAACACAGAGGGAGATGCAAACATAGAGAGACAGATAAAAATATAGAGACACAACGTTACAATGAGAATGAGATCAGATAGACAGTGACAAAGAGATATATATAGAGAGCCAGAAAGACAAAGATGGAGAAACCAGTTTGATCCGGGCACTGCTGGGTATTACATGTACATAATATGTATATATCAAACCAAATCAAAATATTTATTCATGAATGTAGTACATTTATAACTGTGATTTATACATAAAATTTACAGTACATTAATTACTTAGGAGTGAAAATAACAGTACAGCTTCATTCGAACTTCATTGGTATTGTTATTATCAAAATAGAATCGGGAACCTCATTCGTATCAACAAATTCATATCATTGCAATAGAGTACAAATCTGGCTTAGCATGTGGGACTGTCAAGACCCACAAACCTGTAAATTCACTTCGACCCATCATCAGCCAAATACAAATACGCGCTTTCATCTTTAAGATTCCAAAGGAATTTGTTGACCTATAGCAGAGGGGCGAAGGCACCAGGAGTGAGAGCGTATCATGATGTTCACTAATGTGCCCGTACAAGAGGATATTGGAATGATGATGGACAGAGTGTACCGGTATCCAGCTTTTACTCTTGTTGACATCCCAGATGGCACACTTAGGAAGCTACTCAAAGCTTGTTCCAAAGAGGCATTCTTCCTGAGTACTGATGGGCGCATGTATAAGCTGGTAGACAGCGTCGCTATGGGGTCCCCCCTTTGGTGTCGTTTTTGCTAATAGTTGCATGTTAACAGTCGAAACGTCCTTGTTGACATGCGAGTAAAGCCAAATGTAGATATGTGGACGGCATATTTCTGCAGATACCTGAAATAAGCACCTGCTGCAGCTTAAGAGTACATTCGAGGGACGGTCAGTAATGAGGTTTACTTGCGAGATTGAGAGTAGAGGTAGACTACATTTCCTAGATGAAATAGTCTCAAAAAGGAATTGTGTCTTTAACACTGCAGTGTACACTAAGGAACAAGCATTGACAAGTGCTTTAATACTAAGAGTGAGTACAAGTGGAGTATTGTCATAACCTATCAACAACTGCGTCCTTTGTACTCACTCCCTTTTCCTGTAATTTCCTGCGTCCTTTATACACTCTCGCTTTTCCTGTACTTTCCAGCGTCATTTGTACACACTCGTTTTTCCTGTACGTGTCTGCGTCATTTGTACACACTTACTTTTTTGTACTTTAATGCGTCCTTTGTACACACTTACTTTTCCTGTACTTTCCAGCGTCATTTGTACACACTCGCTTTCCCTGTACTTGCCTGCGTCATTTGTACACACTTGTTTTTCCTGCACCATTTGTACACACTTTTCCTGTACTTTAATGCGTCCTTTGTACACACTTAATTTTCCTGTACTTTCCGCTGTCGATTGTACACAGTCACTTTTCAATCTCTAAGGAAGGAGAGGAGTTGAAGAGGAGAAGGTGGGGGAGATATACACAGACTGATGCACCTCTTAGTTCCCCCTATTAGTTTATATGTAAAACTGAATGCCTGTCTTTCCGAGGATGGAATACAGATACATAGTGCTAACCTCATTCAACTTTGCACAGTCAATTCTGAGGGACAGTTTCCTAACATGGGTTCATCAGTGTCAGCACTATTGAAAATAGTAAAACATTGCTTGGTCTCATAGCAACCCAGGTATGGAACATTTCGTTATCTATTAGTTTGCTTCTGGCTCGACTTCATGAAGAAAAAACTTTAACCAAAATTTTGTTTGCTTCAAAATCGTAAAACGTAATACTGTTTTCTTAGGAGAATCTTGACCAAAATTCTTCTGTTGACTGTACCGTTCCTCTCTACCATTCTGCGCCTTTCGTGTCCAGGCTACTGCAGAGAGATATAGGCTGGGAGGCAGTGAGACAATGACAGTGAGACACACAGGAGGAGACAGAAAGACCGAGAGACATGCACTGAGAGATAGAGACATAGATACAGAGAGGCTCAGTAACACAGAGGGAGATGCTGAGATTGAGAGACAGAGACAAAGATATAGAGACACAACGTAACAGAGAGAAAGAGATCAGATAGAAAGTGAAAAGAGATATAAATAGAGGCCGAAAGACTTTCACAGACGGAGAAGCCAATTTGATCCGGGCACTGCTGGGTACTCCAAGTACATAATATGAATATATATCAAACCAAATCAAAATATTTATTCATGAATGTAATACATTTTATAACGGTGATTTTTTACATAAAATTTACAGTCCATTAATTACATAGAAGTGAAAATAACAGAAGAGCTTGTAATCATTGTTATTATCAAAATAGAATCAGGAAGTTCATCCGAATCAACGAACTCATATCATTGCCATAGAATACAAACCTGGGCAAGCATGTGGGACTGTCAAGACCCACAAACCTGAAATCCACTTCAACCCATCATCAGCCAAATACCTTCTTGAGGTTATCTTGAGATGATTTCGGGGCTTTAGTGTCCCCGCGGCCCGGTCCTCGACCAGGTCTCCACCCCCAGGAAGCAGCCCGTGACAGCTGACTAACTCCCAGGTACCTATTTACTGCTAGGTAACAGGGGCATTCAGGGTGAAAGAAACTTTGCTCATTTGTTTCTGCCTCGTGCGGGAATCGAACCCGCGCCACAGAATTACGAGACCTGCGCGCTATTCACCAGGCTACGAGGCCCCTATACCAGGCTACGAGGCCCCTACCTACACCCAGGTGCAGACTGGCTAAGCTACTCAACTGCTAACTCCGTACATGCCACGTGCTTTCATCTTTAAGATTCCAAAGGAATTTGTTGACCTATAGCAGGGAGGGGGGGGGGGAAGGCGCAGGCATCAGGGGTAAGAGCGTATCTTCATGTGGAGTCTTTGTTCACCAGTGTGCCCTTGAAAGAGACTATTGGAATGATGATGGACAAAGTGTATCGGTATCCAGCTTTTATTCCTGTTGAGATCCCAGAAGGCACACGTAGGAAGCTACTGGATGCATTTTCCAAAGAGGAACCCTTCCTGAGTCCTGATGGGCGCATGTATAAGCTGGTAAACAGCGTCGCTATGGGATCCCCCCTTGGTGTCCTCTTTGCTAAATTTTACATGGGAACCGTCGAAAAGTCCTTGTTGATATGCAGGTAAAGCAGAGTGTATATATGTAGACGGAATATTTCTTCAGATACCTGATATTAAGCATTTGCTGCGGCTTAAGAGTACATTCGAGGGAAGGTCAGGTCTAAGGTTCACTCACGAGATTTAGAGTGGAGGTAGACTACATTTTCTAGATGTAATAGTCTCGAAAAAGAATGGTGGCTTTAACACTGCAGTCTTCACTAAGGAAACAGACATTCAATGAGCTTTAATGCTAAGAGTGAGTACAAGCGGAGTATTGTCAAAGCCTATCTCAACCTAGCCCTCGCACACAGCTCCAATTGGTAGCATGTTGATAAGGAACTCTGAAGAGTAAGGCAGTTCCTGATCAGTAATATATATGTCGAAGATGTCATCGAAAAGAGGGTGAGCTGTTATGAGACATGAGACGAAACAGCCAGTAATACATTACTGGTCCTTCTCTCAAAAATATTCGTCAGGAACATATTTTCCACGGATCAGAAAATGAAGGAAAATGTCCTTTACGACGTTATTGATAGAAACGTGACCTCCTACCGACACCAACCAGAAGTTAATAATATACCATAAGATCAATGAGACTGCAAACTTGCTCATGAACAACTTTCCCGATATCAAATGAAACGCAACGCCTTTAAAGAGACGCCTGTTGGCTATGTCCTCACATGCCCACTTGCATTAACGTCAAGGCCCCATTAAGGTCCCTACCCACTACCATGTAGGCCTGGTAATACCGGATTCAGCAGACATTAGTGCTGTCCTGTAGAAAGTAATGGAAATATCTTTCCAGTGAAGGATAGTGTGTTAATTTTGTCTTTACTCTCGACAAATTTGTATTTGTATTTTGTAATTTAGCATTTGCAAATCATTTGACAGAAGTCTAAGTTGTTTTAATACATTTTAATTTACCTATAAAACAGGTTGGTGGAGATGTCTGGACTATGGCGGCTGCCGGAGACGGTGGTGATAGCCATAGGTGGGAGGGCAGGGGTGAGGGCCGTGCTGCTCCACCACAGTCTCCGCAACACTGTCCACGCCCTCTACCTCGCCCTCCACCATGACCTCAACCTCGCCCTCCACCACACCTCCCTCCACGTTCTTCACCACGCCTCCCTACACGCTCCTCTACAATTAAATTATTTAAGCCTCTGGAAGCCCTTTGTCAACTTAGGTCAGTGCATAAAATTAAGTGTGTGAGTTTACTGATGCTCTCATTTAACTCCGTTTGTAGCTCTCGGTAATATTGTTCTAGATTATTTTCCTTCCTTTTGTATCTAACTTTGCTTCTTAATGTTATTTCACGTCAAAATACATTAGGCAGGTCGTAAAAGGTTGCAGAGCACTCTTGTTGCAAATCCTTCTATCTTTGCAACAGGCTATTTTTAAGACTCGTGACAGCACAAACAATTATATGTAATTTTCTTAATCATCACTAAATGAGAGCTCAAAAAAATTAATTTAATGAGAAAGTAGTGGTTGGGAAATGCTGAATAACAAATACTTTAAAGTTATATGTTAGATAAAATATGCATCAGTAATAATTTTCTATTGTTTTGGTCATCATTAAAGAACATTTAAAAATATTCATAATTTTGTCCATAAGATTTGCGAAAATCATTAAAATAATAAGACTAAATAATATTATTACCACTCATAATAAAATAAGTGATACATTAAAACAATAGCGCACTTCTGTAGAGCAGGTTACCCCATATATTGTGTGAACTGAATATTGTGTACATACACCAATAGTTTACTTTAGTGCTGAACAATACTCTGATTCAAAGTATACTTAGTAATTAGCCACTAAGGTATTGTGATGGCCTCAGTGACACTACCACGGCAAATAGGCGAACACCATTATTGACTGGACAATACTTGCATGACTGTAGGTTTTAAAATACAGAAGCATTAAGTTTATTTTGTGCCATTCATTAGGAAGAAACGATATCTGCCGACGAAGGTGCAAGGAGAGGTTGGGCAAATGTTCAATAGTGCAGGATGTGACTAGGAATGTGGGAGATGGCCCAGTCTCGTCTGGTGCTCTGGTAGTGAGTGGATGTCGAGTGTGATTTGTGTACAGTAACGTCGTAAAAACTATGGCTTGAGTAATGGTATACTCTTAATGGGTATCTGGGACTTATGGCGGAAAATCCGACACCATTTAATAATATCAATGCAATTGCAGATAATATTGCTGCATTGTATACACAAGTTAACCCATAGAAAATGTAGCTTGTAGTGGAATTTTCCGTCAATAGAAAACGGGATATCATTGCCACATACTATTATAAATTCACCAGCTATTCTGCTGGGAATTATTCCAAAATACATTAGTCTTTGGACTTTTACCATCATAAAACATATCATTTGAATTAATTTAATTATCAGTATTAAAATAAAGTAAATGTGACCCTTCTATCACTTACTGGCATCTGGACAAAGTAGGCCAGTAGTGTCAGTGGTGAGGGAGTGGTCAACCATTGTTGTTAGACCTGAGGTGCAGGGAGCAAGTTCGGCTCCTGTTAATTTCTCTTGGACGAAGTGTTATGGAAACCAAAGGTCTTCCATCATCAACACCCTGTCAACATAATCAAGGAAAGTGTTCTACTGAAACCCGTTAATCTAATCATTTTTGGCCATTAATGTCAGTAGATAGGGCGACCGGTTAGAATGCGAACAGCCTCTAAAAAAAAGTAATTAAGCCTTGGTCTTTATGATTTATTATATAGTGTTTTCTCTGATATAGCTGTCATATATTAGGATTCTGGCTTTATAGCTAGTGCCTTTGACAGGTCAAGAAGAGGAAGCAAACTGTGTGTATCAGTTACTGGGTGACAGAAGCTGCCTCACACGAGGAAATTTGATGTCTACATTCTAATTATATCTGGTGGACTAAGCCTGCTGTGTAATAAGATAAGGAACCTCCTCAATGTATACTAATATTGTCGGGGTTCACCATAAGAGGGTGAGCAACAGTATACAAGATGTCCTCTCAACGGTTGCACTATTAGCGATAACCGTTACTCACCGTAGCGCTGCAGGTCTTCACTCCATCCTCACGGCGCCACTGTACGCCAGGAGAGTACCCCAGTCGATCCCCAACCGGCCTTAGTAGTTAGAGATGAGTGGAGACACAGTTTGCTCTTTCAACTGTGTGCCTGCCCCGGCAAGGGCTCTACTATTAACCACAAGGTCGCCAACTGGTGTTTCCTGTGTCCAGTAACACGTCAGTGGTTTCGTGGAATTGTGATAACAGCGGCAAGAACACACTCAATAGATCTGATATCAGGCAGGTATGTATCTATCACTCTCACCTTTGTAATAGTTAGGTAGCAGCAAGAATTTTGGAGGGGTAATACAAACGAGAAGGAATTTTGTATTTTACTTAAAACTCAAGAGATCATATTCATATATCCACAGGCGAACAAGTACAAGCAGGAGTCGCTCTCTCTCTCCACATATAATTTGGGCACACTATATGGCAACACGCTCTCCCCCTCGCGTGAAATGTCAAAATCAGCTGAGCGATTCTCACCGCGCGAATGTTCGTTTATCTGTTTGTCTGGCGTGAGACGCCTGTTTCTTTAAATTCTCAACTATCACTGTATTAACACACAACACGATTACTGCTATAATGGCAATAGAACGCAGATGATTCACTGCACTGATCTTGAGCTCAATCACATATTTCTATATTAATGAACATAATAATTCACTATCATGGCGTAACACACTGTACTTCATATAATGATTACGAATGCTACAAGATATAATACTGGAGTTCTCAGTAATTCCTTTCATAGGCGAATATTCAATTGATCACTGCACACATGAGAAATTATTCAACACACAAGCATGTATATATATAGATAAATCATAGATATCAATAATAGTAATAATATCAATACTGGTCACATAGCCTAACACCAATAACTGGTTCACTTTATATATATATATATATATATATATATATATATATATATATATATATATATATATATATATATATATATATATATATATATATATATATATATTCTCTGGCATAATTTATACCATAAATGTCACATGAAAGAATTCATCAACTAACACAGCAAACTCTTCAATAATAACACAGGTGTATCTACACACCGCAAATATCCTGTGAGAGCTTTCTCCAGCCCCACTTCTCACAACTGTGTCCTACCGTGACATTGGTGAGCCTTGCTCACGACTTACAAAATACTCTGGCTAAATAATATAGCTGACTAAAGGGGAATTGGGAGGGAAACTAGAATCACCTACTTCCACCTATCCTCCAGTGAGAGTTGAGTTGTTGCTCCTGGTCCAGGCTCCCGCCTTGTGTAGGGAACGCCCCCCCACACACCCTGTCGTATCCTCCAGGAACCCAATCAACGTCCCAAAATAAACGCGTCGTCTCCGTGTTCTGTCCTCCGCGGGTCCATGCTCCTCCTCCACGTCTTGTAGGTTTGGAGTCGGTCTCCCGGCCGTCAACTTCTCCTCCCAACTACGGCTGCCAACCTACGTCTCGGCTGCAGTCGTACGGATTCCCAATTAGTATCTTCTTTCACTGCTTTTCAGTGGATTGGCGAAGCCGCTACGTCGTCACTGTGAAGCTATCAGACGTCCCAGACGATACTGCCTAGACTTCACCTTCACAGCACCCAACCCTGGAGCACTTGATGCTCAATATTCCGTCAATTCCCTCTTCGGTCCACACATGGAATGAAGAAAGAATTCTCGGCGTACTTGCAGACTACGGGTGACACGTAAGATCCAGGGGAGTGGCGTATTGCTGTCAGATTGACAGGATCAACCTTCACACATCCGTCCACCTTGACATGTCGTGTTAGACTGATGGCGCCTCCGTGGCGCTATGACCGGACCCCCCTGCCTTCGTGACGTCATACTTGCCAAGGGAGGTTTTCATTGGTTCCCTGAGCCACATCGCTGTCGGTGACCAATCTGGTGCCACTGACGTCACACAGTTTTGGCGGCAAAACGAAGGGGCCAGCGCCATATTGGCTTCCTAAAGGGCCTATACCACAGGCCAAAATACTTTTCTTTCACGAATTTCTCGCCACCTCGAGAACACTACACTCTCCCACATATATCAAACTGATGCCCGCGACGTAGAGAACGCTCGGGTAAAGCGGACATGACTCTTACAGCAAGCGTGGGAGAAATATAAGGGGGGGGGGGGACGCTGTCACATACCCCTCCCCTTAAAATAAGAGTCATGTCTGATTAGTGTATACGGGACAGGGCATCCGCAACCACGTTGTCCTTCCCCCTGATGTGCTTGATGTCCAGCCAGTACTATTGCAGTAGCAACGCCCACCTCGTCAGACGTTGGTTGGAGTTCCTCATTTTGTACAAAAAGGTTAGAGGGTTATGATCTGTGAACACAAGAACAGGTCCCGCCCCTCCTCCCACGTACACATCGAAGTACTTCAGGACCATAACTAGCGCCAATGCCTCTTTCTCAACGGTACTATAGGCCCGCTGGTATTTCACAAACTTCTTAGAGTAGAAAGCTACTGGCCTATGTATCTCACTCCTCTCTTGAGCCAACATGGCCCCTATCCGAACGTCGCTGGCGTCCACGTACAGGATGAATCTGGCTGAGAAATCTGGGGATATTAATACCGGGGCCTCTGTCAACAGTTTCTTGGTCTTCTCAAAAGACTCTTGGCAGGCCTCTCCCCATCTCCATCGCACATTCTTGGAGAGTAGCTCGGTCAGGGGATGCGCTACCGTGGAAAAATTCCTGCAGAACCCACGATAGTATCCTATCATCCCGAGATACCTTAACAACTCTTTATACGTTCTGGGCACGGGGTATTCCTTAATGGCTGACACTTTGTGATCTACAGGGGTTACTTCTCCTTGGCCGATGATGAAGCCTAGGTACTCCAAGTGGGCCTTCCCAAACTCGCTCTTGGCTAAATTTACAGTCAAGTTAGCCTCCTCTAGCCTTCTAAACAATTCCTTGAGTCTCTCCAGGTGCGTCTTCCAATCGTCGGCGTATACGACGATGTCATCGATGTATACTGTGCAGCCTTCGGCCCCCCTTAGCAAGTCATTCATCATGCGCTGGAAACAGCTACCGCTGTTTTTCATTCCAAAGGGTAACACCTTGTATTGGTACAGCCCGTCAGGTGTTGC